AGCGAAGAAAGTCAGCTAAATCTAAACGCGCGGACACAGCTCGATCTGTTGAGACGTTGAGATTGCGGCTTTCTTTTTCTGCTGCGTTGTTCTGCTTGAAAGTCGCAAGGAAAGAATAACTGGACCTACTCCTCTTCTCTGAATTCGTAGATAGCCAGAACAACGTCCATCATCGACCTCCATTGCTCGTCGGTGACGCTGCCCGTCGCAGAACTATCGCCCTTGCCATCATCTTCAATCGATTTAACCGGCTCCTCAGGAGCGGGTTGGCTTTGCGACGGCTCCGACGCCTTTTCCATGCTGTTGACAACACCCCTACCACTGAGAGAGACACCCACGGTCAAAAAGCGGGTGCAGAGAGACTCAAGATAGCCGATCACAGTCTTTCAGGGAGATGCAGATTGCTCAAACTGGCGCGCAAAAAAAGATGCCAGATGAGGAGAGAGGTTCGCGCAGTAATTACGCTGACTCAGCGAGTTCCTGTCACAGTTTGGCCCGAACGATACCATACGGTAACTATATGAACGTTACCGTCCACTGTATATTTACCTGCCTATTTCATACAGGGACTGGGACATTCACTGGTAATATTATGCACATCCAAGTTTCCAGCAGACCTTACCCACTGGTTAGTTTCTGATGTTCAACAACCATCAAGCCTTGTCGAGATCAACCTGCTCTTCTACTCCGTATCGGCGAGAGAAAGATGGACTACGGAGTAAGTCGATACGGATTAGCGTAAGGACGGGCCAGTGCGGGGATAGCTCGAAGCTCAGGTGTACAGTACCTATCTCCTGTCGTCATTTGTCTTTTGAGCCTTCCATGGATAGCATCATGCGCAGCGTTTATGTCTACGCTCTCGGTCATATTCTTTTCTGTTAGCCACGTCTGAGGACTTTGTGAACCAACACAGTGGCCGGGATTTTCTGCCCGAAATCTCTCAGCAACTCGAAAGTAACAATTCGCGCCATTTCCCAGTACCTACTCCATGTCTCCGTGTCCTAAGGGAAATGCGCCGCCAGCCCCACATTCACTGGTTGCTGCTCGTCAATCGTCATTCCATCTCATCCATCCCTCCAGTGGCTCTATTTCGTACCCGCGACTTGATACTCCCCAGTGCCTGATACTCTGGAATTTTTTTTCGATCTGCTGTCTGGATTCTGAAGGCTAGGCTCTCTGTCCTAGACGTATCTACAAGATAGTTGACGTTTCCCATCGGTGTTGTCCCAATCTTTCGGCACTCTATCTACTTAGCTAGTGGGAGATGAGGATCCGAGTCCGTGGACCTGCTGGACAGTCTACCGTCACTCTTGATGACACTGCAACTGTCAACGATCTTCGCGCTCACATTGTCGAGAAAACTGGGTTGACAGCATATGATGTGAAGTACGGATATCCCGATCTTAAACCTCTGGTATTAGATGGGTTCCCTTCGGAACAGAAAATCAGAGACCTCGGCATTAGTCTAAATGGCGAACAACTGCTCGTCACCAGGAAGGAGGATTCGGCACCAACGACTCTGCCACAAGCACCAAGCGCCAGGGACAGCGAAAGACCATTATCCACGGCGCAGGATGATGATGGAAAACTGTCTCTAACCCGCAAGCCCCATGAGGGTGTGTCTGATGATCCTCCCGAGATTGCTTCGCCCGAGCATTCGGGCACTTTTGTGTTGCGCATCATGCCTGACGATAACTCCTGTCTGTTTCGCGCGGTAGGGAGTGCAATCATGGGAGGAATGGACACTATGACCGAGCTTCGGTCGATTGTCGCCCAGACTATTCAAGCGAACCCTGACGTCTACTCGGAGGCAGTGCTAGAGAAAAAGCCAGACGACTATTGCCGTTGGATTCAGCAGGAGAACTCATGGGGCGGAGCAATCGAGCTCAGCATTTTGAGCAAACATTTCGATATCGAGATCTGCTCAATCGACGTGCAAACGCTGCGGGTGGATCGGTTCAATGAAGGTCCGCCCACACGATGTGTCCTGGTGTATTCTGGGATTCACTATGATACCATTGCTTTGTCACCGTCGGATCCACCATACACACACGCTTATGCCCCTCCGGAGTTTGATACCAAGGTCTTTGATGCAGCCGATCCAGTAGTTCTGGAGAAAGCGCTGGCGTTATGCGAGATTCTTCAGAGCAAACATTACTATACAGATACTGCAGGGTTTCGCATTCGCTGCAATACTTGCGGCGGTATTTTCACCGGCGAAAAAGGAGCCACCACGCATGCGACACAGACAGGACATTATGATTTCGGCGAAGCAAGCTGAAAAAGCCGCAATGGGTACAGCCGGCTGCCTGTCCCCGATATCTTGCACTTTGCATACACTGTTGGATAAGGCATATCTTAATGAGTGCGGGGAGTTCTCAAACCATATGCAGAAATGTGAAAAACCGAGGGTCGAGAACGTTGTAGTACAACCATATAGCAGCACATTAATATATAGCGGACTCATTGGATTGACACAAACAAAATGCCGTTCTTTGTGGGATATCATAATCATACATAATTTCCGAACCTTCTACACCATCGCTACTTCATCCGCCTCGTCATCATCTCTGTCGCCTTCTTCGTCCTCCCCGGTATCTGCGCTGTCCTCAGGATGTCCGCCCCACTCCACGTCGTGCTCAATAGGGTTGGTGAAGAACTCGTGCAGCAAAGCTTCCCTGGCACTCAGTCGTTTGTAGGGGTCCAGCTCCATGAGACCAGCCAAGAGTCGAGTGGCTTGCCTCTCGCTCTCGGTCAATTCTTCCACGCAGCTGGCCCATTTCACCAGTTTCTCCCAGCCATAGCCCTTTTCGCCAATGGTAGGAATGTTGGTTTCGAAAATCTGACCATGCATGGCGGCTGCAGTCTTCATCCGACGGGTGCCAAATATACTTGCCATTTCGATCATGGCATCAACATCGTCAGCGGAGTTGAAAAAAGGAAATCGACGTCCAAGCAAGGTTAACAGGATCACGCCGGCAGACCACATGTCTATCTTGGTTGTTTGAGATGTACATTTGAAAAGAACCTCCGGGGCTCGGAAGCCGCGAGTTCCCGCTCGATTAGCACGTCTTGCCGGCCGTGAGTCGTTCTTAGGGTAGCCAGCCGAGAGCGTGGACGTAGAGCAATGTGTATAATAGTAGCTCTGCAGCAACCGACTGCGGCGCACAAAGTTCGGGTTGGCGCAAAGACAGGTGCCGGTATATTCAGACCCCTCACGCTGGAAAAGACGAATGAGAAACTCAGTAGTGAAACAATTTGAAAGTGGACACTTACTTCCGCCAGACCAAAGTCTACAAGGACTCCTTCGCGGAGCTCAGGGTTGTACAAAAAGTTACTGTCAAGGGGCTTAGAAAACGAGCGCGATGGGCCGACACACAGCATTCCACTTACGTTGGCTTGATGTCTCGATGGAGAATATTGTGCTTATGGACGGAGTTTAGCGCGGTGAAAAGGGATCTGAAATAATGTCGCATATCGGCGACCATGAATGTGCGATATTGAATGCGAAAGTCGGTATGGGGAAAGAAAGGCAAGACAGCCACAACCTGGTCCTGGTGCCTGAAAGCTGTGATCAAAGGGCACACGGACCGGCAGCCCCGAAGGTCATGGAGCAGCTCCAGCTCGTTTTGGATCCTCAACGGACTGCTGGTAACGTAGATCTTCTTCAGTGCGACATATCGCGGTTTTCTCCGTTTGGTGACCGACTCCTCCACTCGCCGTCTCTTTGCTGGGGGACTGGACCAGTTACTGCTTTGGTTTTCCTGGAAAGTGTCCCAATCATTCTTGTAATGGTCGTACAAAAGGTCCTCAGCTTTGTAGACTGTTGAAAATGTCCCTATGGTAATCAAAGTCCAACGCTCAGCATACATTCACCAAGTGGGAAGGGACAATTCCAATCATAAGATAGAAGGGAAGTCGGTACCTTCACCGATCCTGTTCACCAAACGAAATCGATCAGAGATCCCCGGAAATGTATCCTCAAGTTTCTTCATGTCTTCCCGGACCGAGTCGTCCACTTCTTCTTCCTCATCCTCACCTTCGTGGTGGTTCTCTCTGCGACGTGAGTCTACCGAGGCGTCACTGTCTGTGGCAGTACCATCGTCTAGCACAGCCATGTGTGCGTGTGTGCGATGATGGTCCGTAGCCTCAGACTTTTGCAGTCCAAAAACACCAGTAATTGGGGCGTGCATTGTGGACATGTCACTGATCAGGGAGATGTTACCACCACTATGGCCGAAGCTAAGTGAGGGGTTCCTCAAAGATCTTGCATGGACCGACGCGATCGACTGGATCAGGGCCCCAGACCACGGGGTTGGCAATGCGCTCTGGAAATGAATGGATTATGCAGGACAGCGCGTTGAGGATCTCTCAAATCATCAATTTCGCGGTTTGATGACAACGGTAGGCGCGTATATAATTGTGTACTCCGTATGATCCATCAAAATGGTTGGGTCTAAAGATAGTGAAAGCAGCATGCAAATTGTCCCTATCAGGTATGGTGGTGTTTGTTTACTTCTGCTTAGGATACAGAATTAATTACAGGTAATATAACCAAGGTACCTCGGTACCTACCTTAGCATCTTCAACTTAAGTCTGTTATCCTACACAATACAGTTCAATAATACATTCCATGAGTCTCTTCATTTCACTGTCATTCCACTCTGTTAAGCCCGTACTATGAGTTTCAGTCTCAAGCTGATTGTGTACCTGGTACCATAGATTTTATACAGTATTTGCAATGTAACATACAGAATTTCACCTACCCCCATTCAGGATAAGATACTGTTGTACCGCCGTGGCAGAATGATCTAAAACGGCAAAACACAAACAAAACCTAAGGCACGCCTGCATCACCAAACATTCTCCTCCCTTCCCGCCGCTGACTCTTTCACGCAAACTCATCCCCCTCTTTACCCCCACTCCGAAGTGTGAAAGCCCCATTCCGTCACTCAACCTCTTAAAGTGTCCTTCGAGGACATCCTCGCAGTCGGCTCAGGATGGAGGACAGGATTCAGTTCGATATCAACGAGTCACTCAAATATTACTTGAGTGATCCGGCCTCCGTTCCCACAAACGATGCCGACCCGGAACTGCTGGATTGCGAAAGCGACCTCGAGCATTTAACGCCAGTATTGATCGATAATGTGCTCAATCCCGTTGTAGATGCTGTGGCTGAGAACCCCGAAGCAGTGGCGAGACAGTCATTTTTTGACTCACTGCAATTCCTTCTAAAGTGCGCGATGGCCCCTTCTCCGTTCTCCGAGTTTTCTGGCCCTGGTGGAACCCATTCTGAACTTCTTAATCTCTGCAGATACTCGTCTTTCCTCCCTACGAAGTCCCTCAGCAAACTCCTCGATCTGATAGTGTCCGGACTGTCTGTCGAAGCAGATATAATCCATGGAGATCTCGAAGCCGACGAGCAGGATGCTATCCAGCACCATAAACAGCTATTGGAGATGTACGGCTTCTTGCTTCAATGGGCTCTCTCTGCTGTGGAAGTCAAAGCGGCAGAAAAGCCCGCGGAGGCTGCGCCTGCTCGGAGAGGTGTAGGTAAATCGGGAAGGTCCAAGGCCAGCAACAAGGACGGTACATGGGACTGGACAGCGCAGATTCAGATATCCATGGAGACGATGTGCAAAGTGATGAAACTTAAATTAAGCAGGATTTTCATGACCACATCGGACCGCGACACTTTCGTCAACTTGTTCACCCGTGCGATTTACCTCATCTTGGAGAGCGAGCAACGGGTCAAGAGCCTAGCCATTCGAATGCATGCTTTCAAAGTTCTTTGCATTGCTGTGAAACATCATGGTCATGCATTTGGTAGGGTCCAAGAACATAATGAGCAGTCATGCCTGAGCTAATATGCTGTGAAGGAGCGCAGACATCCATCGTACAAAGCCTGACCTATTTTGAGCATCTGTCAGAGCCTATGGCTGAATTTTTGCACATTCTTGCGGAGCAATATGACTATCCACAACTATCGGACGAGATATTGAAGTACTTAGATGTCTCATGCATCACCACTGGACTTGTGGCTAATCGGTCGCAGGGAACTTGGAAACAAAGAATTCAACTCGAACGACACACGAGGGCCGAAATCAGTTTCGGCCTTTATCGTGAAGCTCTCAGAGCTGGCACCGCGGCTGATCATCAAGCAGATGACTCTATTGGCCAAACAATTGGATAGCGAAGTAATATCCCCAGGGCAACCTTATTGGTGGAATACGAAGATGGGGCTAATCATTTCTACAGTCATACACTCTTCGTTGTGCTGTTGTTGAGGTTTGCGGGAATCTAATTGCGGACCTTAGCAGACAAGAAGAACGCAGTGAGAACTACAAAACTCAAATCAATGCGTTCTTCGATGTCCTAGAAGAAAGATTTCTGGACGTCAATCCCTACTGCCGTTGCCGAGCCATTCAGGTGTATATGAGGATCTGTGACCTCGAACAGAAGTTCCCCAAAAGACGACAGGCAGTTGCGGAGCTGGCGGCAAGGAGCTTGGAAGACAAAAGCAGCAATGTGCGACGCAATGCGATCAAATTACTTGCGAAACTGGTCTCTACCCACCCATTTAGTGTAATGCACGGCGGACAGCTTTCCTACAAAGAGTGGGCAGCTCGTCTCGACAATGTCGATGCGGAACTTAATGCACTACGGCCACCTGAGACACCCGGCTTCGACGGTGGTGAGGCTTCACATGTCGACAGCGAGCTGTTAGACGACGCGACCCAGATACCTGAAGATTCACCATCGAAGGCACCACGCATGACCGACGCCGAAAAAGCTGCCGCCATCCAAAAGGCCGCGGAACAGGCAGCGACATCCGAACTGCTGGCACGACTGCAGCTGACCAGGAAATACTACAACGAAGCCATCCGTTTCATTGAGGTGCTTCACTCCGCCTCAGCAGTGGTCTCCCAGCTCCTGTCATCTCGAAATAAGAGCGAAGTCATTGAAGCCATGGACTTTTTTGTAGTGCTTGATGCATATAAGGTTGAGACTGCACGCAGTGGCATCAGGCGCATGCTGCGACTCATCTGGACCAAAGGCAACAGCGATGAAGGCAAAGGGGTCCAAACCCATCTGATTGACTGCTACAAGGGTCTGTTCTTTGATGCGCCGGACTCGTTCGGCCCCAATGATGCCGCAAACTACGTTGCCCGGAACATTATCAGTTTGACCTTTGGCTCAACACCTGCCGAGTTGACATGCCTCGAACAATTGCTCAGTACCATGATGAAAGCCGGTCACATCTCGGATGCGGTTATTGCGAAGCTTTGGCAAGTCTATGGCGTCCAGCGCAAAGAGATTTCCAAGACTCAGCGGCGGGGTGCCATTATTATCCTCGGTATGCTAGCCCTGGCAGATCCAGAGGTTGTAATCAAGGAGACCGAAGTTATGCTGCGCATCGGACTAGGCAACATAGGCAGAAGTGATCTGTTGCTTGCGAAATATACCTGCATTGCGTTGAAGCGAATGGTGCCTGGACGTCAGGCGAAATCGAAAGATGCAGGCATTCCCAAGCTAGCAAATGATCACCCAGTTCTCAGTAAGCTTGCCGCCATGGTCGAAATTGTGTCGGATAGCAAAGAGTGGTATGGGGTGGCAGAGCAAGCCATTGGAGCCATATATACGCTCTCAAAGCATCCAGATGTCCTTTGCTCTGATATCCTAAAGCGTAAGACTAGGGCTGTGTTTCAGCCGCAGCTGCAACGGCCTTCTTCCAACGCCTCTGGCGATGAAGACGAGCAGCGCCCTGGAACAGCCTCCACTGATGGTCAAGGCCCCCGGCCAAAGACATCTTCTGCCGCACTGTCTCAGTTGCTTTTTATTGTCGGCCATATCGCTATTAAGCAGATTGTCCATCTTGAGTTATGTGAACTTGACTTCAAGCGTCGCAAGGCAGAACAGGAGAAGCATAAGGCTGGCAATACAGCCGCTCACAAGGACAATCAGACGGGCGAGGATGATGAATTGGACCTGATTGGTGGGACGACCGAAGATGACTTCACGGAGGCCATGTCTCACATTCGAGAACGGGAATTGCTCTACGGAGAGAATTCTCTCCTGTCGAACTTCGGGCCTCTGGTTGCGGAGATTTGCGCTAATAGTAACGCTTATCCCGATCGCAACCTTCAGGCGGCAGCGACTCTGTGTATGGCCAAGCTGATGTGCGTGTCAGCCGAGTATTGCGAAAAGAACCTCCCCCTCTTGATCACCATCATGGAGCGCTCAGAGGACCCGACCGTCCGCAGTAACGCGGTTATTGCTCTTGGGGATATGGCTGTTTGCTTCAATCATCTCATCGACGAGAACACAGATTTTCTATATCGTCGGCTCAATGATGATGATGTATCCGTCAAGCGCACTTGTCTGATGACACTCACATTCCTTATTTTAGCTGGACAGGTCAAAGTCAAGGGACAGTTGGGCGAGATGGCCAAATGCTTGGAGGATGATGACAAGCGCATCGCTGATTTGGCTCGCATGTTTTTCACGGAATTGGCGACTAAGGACAATGCAGTGTACAATCACTTTGTCGACATGTTCAGTCTGTTGAGTGCTGAGCGGAATCTTGAAGAGACTGCTCTGAGACGTATCGTTAAATTCCTGATCGGCTTTGTTGAGAAGGTGAGTTACACAAAATCTGACAAGATGCGATGCGTATCTATTCATCGCAAGGCGTCTCTGACTGTTTCTTCTACAGGAAAAACATGCCAGGCAGTTGGCCGAGAAACTTGCTGCTAGACTGCCTCGGTGTGAAACCGAGCGACAGTGGAACGATGTGGCTTATGCTCTGTCCCTCCTGCCTCACAAGAACGAGGATATCACAAAGACAATAAGCGCAGGTTTCAACAAAGTTGTCACTACAAATTCTTGAGTTAATTGCAGCAACGGTGTTGGGGTTGGATTGGTGGTTGACCATGGACATTCCATTTCTGTCGAGGAGTAAAGGCGCAACTTTTGGGACTGTGGGAAGGAAAGGTTACTTTATGATCAGATCACGAATATATATGGCTTCATGCAGCTACTCTCTTATTTGTTTAGCATGTTTTTTTGGCCTCATTTTACATGGTGTACGGGGCTGATTCCCGTAGCTTCAAGAAGCGTATTCCCAGTTTAGATGTTATGCATTCAGGTCACCCTTCCGAATACGCTCAGAATGTAAGTAAGGGTAACGGAACGACCTCTTGAAAAGCAGTCTTCTTCTATTATCAACAAATAGTTCACGAAAATGATGGACTGACGGAACCTATCGCCATCAAGTTGTCCAAAAGGGGCAAGGAATGCACGAGGTAAAGCGAATCTTCGCCTCATATCACATAGAACACGGAAACATGGGAGGACTAGACGCAACAGAGCCCACCAGTGAGCTGCCAGATACTCCAGATTCAAAGCCGCAATCCCATATGCACATTTCAAAACTCAGCCCAGACACTCAGGCACCTTTTCTTTCGCTTTCCGCCAGTTTATAGTCGCCGTTACGAAGACCCTGCAGGGCTTTATATCCATCTTCGGTCAACTCTGGTCTTCCCAACGGTGTAACACTCCCTGTGAAAAACCGCGGCTGCCACGATTCGTTCTTCTGTTGCCGCTCTGCTGCCTTTTCTCGCTGGCGCTCTTCGATTTCTTGCTTGAGTCTTGTTGCCTCGCTATATCTTTTTTCGTTGATGGCTTTGGTGACCCCCGCCCAGAATTTGAGAGACTCGTTCGACAATTGATCCTCTTCGGGAGGTAATGTCTTTGGCACTGGGAAGAGAGGCGTTACATCAATCAAGAGACGCGGCTCAGCTGTTCCAGCCATTGTGTAATAGATCTGTCCATGCCATGACCCGCTGATCTTGGCAAGGACATCGCCTTCGGGCACATCTTTGATTCTAGTGACGGTATCTTGGTTCGGGTCATACCGGAAAATCAACCCTTCCACCTTGTTCTGGGCTCGACCAATCCAGCCTTCCTCCAGATACTGTAGAATGACTTTGATGCGTGTTTTGGAGCAGGTGATAAAACACGCATCTGAGACTGAAATGGCCAGCGCACCTCGCAATAGCCCACCAAGATGAGCACTTGGATGGGTCAACTGGTATTCCTCATTATCTCTCTTCTCAATATTGACAAAGATTCCCAGGTTGTGTTGACCAGGAGCGACGCGGATGCTCGTGCCCGTAAATTTGGCACTGAGCTGATCGAATCCACGAGCGGAGACCCCTCTTTCCGGGCAGTCTATAAAGAAGGCAGACACTGGTGGATGGTGCGATGTCTGTTCAGTCAGGTAGCATATCTTAACGGTTTCTCCGTGGTCACTGTCACCCGTGAGGGTCCCGTTCTGCACGCCTGCTGTCGGAGGCGGGGATATGTCGGGGGCATTGTCATAAACCTCCCAACTACACTATAAAGGCAGATTAGTCGATACTATCCTGGCACGCCGCGGCGGTCTGCCGTTGTGCATCGACACTTACCCGAAAGAACTCGCCCAGCGTCGAATTGTAGGGTTTGCAAGGTTTGCCTTTGATATATTTCTGTCACGGGCTTAGTGCATATTTCTAGCAAGACATTCAAGGTGACGTTGAAGCCATACCAGATCCTTGGTAAACCAGAACCTTAGCACTTCCAGCATTCGACCAACGGGATCATCCGACTTCCCTATGCTGTGATATTGCCTGTCAGATAGCGACCCTTTGCGGAGTATGCAAAGAATATCATACTAACCTCGCGAAAGTTTCCGGTCTGTCAAGGTAGTTCCAATATTCTAGAGATTATCAAGCTGCGTCAGATGTCTCGTCGCATCGAACAACGCAGCCCGGGTCGACTTACCCAAATTCGGTCTGGGCTCCAGAAGATGTGCGGGTAAGGAGAAACGAACGGATGCGATGTCTGCCACGCCAACGAATCTAACAGGTACAGAAATCGTATTAGTTCCGAGAAGCATCACAATAGAGCTCAAGGCAGTACGTACTTGCGGAGAATGGAAAGGAAGGTTTTCAGCTTGGAGGAGTCATCATTTGCCTTGTCGGGTGTCGCTGCAGCTGCAACAGGAGACATCTTGGGCAAAACTGTCTATAGAATATACAATGTCAAGTCCTCTTTTCGGACGAGCAGCGCAGGCAAAGGCAAGATCCCCAAGCGGCTATGTCCAGCGTTTAGTCAATCCAGACACAGCGGAATGCCTATCCCGGACGAAATAGTAGTAGAAATGTCGACAGGGGGGAAGTCAAAAGACAGCTGAATAGAACGGCCAGTAGGGGAATAACAATGAATACGATTTGAAAATTTAAGATAGACGTCGCGTAGAACTCGAGGCGGTGACTTTTCGCCTGCTCCAATGGTCGAAGAATAAAAGATACCTTAAGGAGTTCCAGTTCGCAGATACGTCACCGACAATTCGTTATCGGACGACATAAACTAACCTAATATAATAGATAATGACTAGACTAGTTAACCGTGGCGTTTGACGAAGGTGGAGGAGGAGACTTGGCTTTGACGAGTTCTGACCTATAATTTCTGGCTCTATTTTGGGTCCTTGGCCACACTCAACCGATCGCAACCATAGGAGAGAAAAGAAGGAAGGACGAGAATGAAGAAAGACAGGGACTTACTCTTTTTTCCTTTTTCCCCCTGATGGTGAAAGCAAGTATCTATCTAGATCGTCTCGTCTCCCATGTCAGCCGGACCCATTCGGCCCAGCCCATCTTTGGCTCATCTCTTGGGGATAAGAAAGTAAGTATGCAGGGCTGTCATCCAATCGGCTCACCACGAGGGGTCGGAGAGCTTTCCTGGGCTTTCTACGGAGGAATGAAGGAGCCATATGAGCAGAGTAACAAAGTTGATTGGTGACAAGCGGTCCAATCCCGTCAATTGCCCTTTGGCTGAATTAAGGTACAAAGCTACCTGAACCTTAAGAATCAGAATAGATACTAGGTACTATCTACATGGGCGAAAGTAAGCGTTTGCAGCATATGCCCCCGGCAGGTGTATCGCATGCATGGCAATTGCCATGGCATTATTAATATTATTACCAGCGAATGCCACTTATTCAGCATATAGTCTATCTGGTCAGTCCTTGAAATTTCTTCTTCAAGCTCAAGAATTCTACGAGCGATGCCAGAAATTGATTTCTCCGAATCTCAGGAGCCTCCCTCACCTCAACAGCTTGATCAAGTCAAGCTCTCTATGACTCTTTTGCGCGCCAAAAACCGAATCCACGCTCTCACTGCTGGACCATAGTCGAACCGCCGTCCGGTTGCATAGTTATCGTCCGCCCGGTGGGATTGCTGTTCTTCCAAAATAGATGCTCGAAGCTCCCGCTGCTCGTTGCTGAGCCAGTATCGATGCTGCCTCAGTTCCTCCGCTGAGGCTTTCGCATATTGTACTTCACGCTCTGGTGGGATGATCACAGTGTCGATGCGATGCCTCGTTAAGTTAAAGGAGCTGTCGGGGCCCAGTATTGTGTTTTCGAGCAGAGACACGGGACTTTCGGGCCCGGGACAGGTTTCCTCGGCCTCCTCGCGGGAAGCCAACCAGCGGTTGACTGCTTCCAAGCATTTGACATTGACTGCCAGCTGATCTTCGAGCTCAACAAGCGGATCCTTAGCCACGCTGAGAATGGAGAACTCAATTTGATCCTCTTCGTACTCCGCCATCCTGGTGAGGATGTTGGGCCGTACTAGGGTCAGCCAGTCATCGTCGGGCGCATATTCCCCTGGATTATCATCAACTCATGTCTACCCTCGTTTGTGCAGATCGAAGTATACTCACCGAGAGCTTGGGGCTGACGCTCCAAGCCGTCAAACTTCCAGACTTTGCCCAGCGCCGGGACAAACGCGATAAAATGGAATCCAGCGTCAGTCTCAAACTCATCATGCCTGTTCTTGCCCGATCGAGAACGTTTGGATGTCGCCTCCACCTTCAGCTGTAGATCTGAATTCAGTATGTCCATTCTTCTGCGTTTCAGATGTGAGTTGAAGTGACGATAACACGGTGATACGACGGATCAGGAAGAAGAACCAGGGGAGGAGTGGGAGTGTAACAAACAACCCACCTTGCAAACGAGTTGTGTATCCTTTTGACGAATTCAAAGTTGTTGATGGCATCACCCCTCAACGCTGGTGTGAACGGCATCGTAAATTCTCTGAAATGTCGTAGATTTTCCCCAAGCTCAATTCCTTCGATATTGTTTACAATGTTCAGGAGTGCCACGCTTGCGCAGGCATTACTAGCTGTCTTCGCAAGATAAGTCAAGGGAAATGAGCATGAGACATGTATAAGGAGACAGACCTGGTTTGCAAACCAAAGTCCTTCTGGACAGCTCGCTTCCTGCTTATCAGGATCATCTTCTCGCCAACGAAACAGAAAGATTAGACCATATACTGGTTTACTACTCGCATGTAAGCCTTCTTCGGGATCAAACAGGCTGAAAGAACGTCGGAGACAATGGCACCGGAAGAATCATACTTTAGAAATGCCATCAATTCATCGTCCAGTGAGACAACTTCTTGAACCTTGACCCCTTTGACTCCGAACTCGCGCAACATCACATTGAAGATAGCCTAGGGAGTATGAGCACCGGCCCGTGGTCAAAGTAGCGCGCATACCGATAGCATGAATCTGCGATCATACTTACCGGCTCCGACTCAAGCTCACAGAAGCCGTTCCATTTTTGCCTTTCCAACACATTGGCAGGATTGCATGGCGCTGCAGTAAATGAGTTTGCCATCGTATGATTCGACGGCACAGATGCTGGGCTTGAACTGGCATTCACTCTTCTGCGTTTGTTGCGCTGGCTCATGTTGGCCAATGATTTCCTTCGTAGAGCCTGGTTGGCAGAAGCTACCTTAGTTCTCTTCAGGAAGATGTCCTCTAGGGACAAGGTCCGATCACGAATGATCAGCAAGATTGCAGAACGACACAACACTCATTCAGAAGTCAGGAGCCTGTGCGAGCATGTTACTAGGAAGAAATCAATAGATAAAGTCTGCTCGCTGGCTTCCTTTCAATATCCACTTTTCAGTAGGGGACAGGATGGAGACCAAAGAGAAACAAAAGAGACCAAGCCTCTAAGGGGAAAAAAGAATACCAACGTCTTCTGATTTTTTCATTTGCGGGGAACTCATCGAAATGACCCAGATAGGCAATAAGAATATGGAGTAGATACCATGATGGAAGGGACAGAGGGACAGATGAAAGGAATGAAGTAATAATGGACGGATATACACGATACCTTATTGAATTTGGGGAGCTGGCTCAACATTGCTTTCTGATTGGACAAAGCTTCTTTTCGTTCTTCTTCCTCGACGCGACTTCACGCGTTAAGGTACCTATCTACGGAGTATAAGGTATGAGTTCATCCATAGGTACGGAGTAGTATCTGGTGTATGGTAGTAGTAGTAGTGATATCTTGAGAATAAATACGAGGAGATACTTGTGAATCGATGATGACATGTAAGGACCTGATCGGATACTCCGCACCCGTTGAATATTTCATTTGAAAAATTAGTCCTCGAAGTACGTTATGTATGACAAGTATGTAAGTTTCCTGGTAATGGAAGCATTCTAAGGTACGGATTTCCGATCCTACAAACCCTTCATCCAACAAACATAAGAAGATTATGATGATCAAGAGGGAAATAGAACTAAGAAGAATATAAAATATGAGGAGGGAAAAAAAATGAAAGATCCTCTTATGTCGAGTCAAAATGAAGGGATAGGTAGAAAGACGATCATACTTGGTAAAAAGTTACTCTCTATCTAGCTGGAGGAGGAGGAAGTATGCTAAGAGCTGTGAGATCCGCACTTGTCGACCCGCTAACCGCAAAGCTCTTCTTTTCCCCGTTCTCTGCTAGCATCTAGTCAACAACCACAATAACAAAAGTTATTACTACATACACTTCTCTAGAGGTTGCCGCTACTGCTGTTGCTGCTGATTTTAGGGATATTCATCGATCTTAATTTGTCGCGATCCTCTCAAGTCACAGTGCTACCCATCACCTAAGTTTCAATTGGCGAGCTACGACAGTCGCGTATGGCTTTCTCATTTTTACGAATTATTAGGTTATTTTCTTGATTGTTGACGTCTTCTATAGCCTGGCCCTTCGTATAGGTACGACTCACCTCAATCAAGAGCGGGTTCTTCTCGGTGACCGCAGCATGCCATGAACGGCACTCCTCGACTTCGGTCTGCCTTTCCTCAGACCCCTCAAACACTTCAAAGAACAAGAGAGTATAACATTACACCGACTAGGCCTAAGCCGCGGGATGTCGGGCTGCGGAGATCCCCAGTGAAAGTACCGCAGACCAAAGCGGACGCGCCTCTCGTTCCGACCGGCGTGATAGATGCCCCGTCGCAGAGGCTCTACGTGGTAGCTTTCTACATTGCGCTCAATGCATGGCGGGTCTATGAGTCTTGGACAGCTTCAGACGAGCTGGACTCAACCTGGCTGTTTCTAAAATGGACTTCCATTGACGGGGTATTCCTCTTTGGCCTGCAGGCCTTGCGCATACCCTGGCTCGAGTGGGCGTTTCCAACAACGCTAGCGATCTTCTTGATTCATGTTGTCGGTAACATGTTTCTCATGTTTCGAATTCCCGTGCGTATCCCAACCTGCCGTGCGATGGTCGACTTGCTTACACCAAGCAGATTCCAATGAGTGCGTGGATCTCCGGAATCGTCAAAGTGGCATACGATCGGGAATTATCCATTTCCGAGCGTAGTGTCAAACCTGGAGATATTATTCACAATGCCTCTCTCATTCTTGGAAAACAGATCGTTCACATTCTTCCGGAGGGGTAGGCTCTCCTTATCAAGGATGCCCGATACTTGCCTACTGACGTTCTTTAGTTCCGCCGTTCTGAACCCGGATCAGATCCCCTTCTGTCTAGATTCTCAAAGAAGCACCGTCAATCTACCGATACGTGTCAATCAAACCGACCCGGTTCTCATAGAACTATTACGCCTAGATCTCAGCACCGGTGAAAATGAAACGATTACAATCTCACCGAAACAGCTGAAGCAGATGAAACGTCAGGCGGGGAAAAAACTTTCGAGCTCAGACGCACCCGAACACCGTGATATACTCTACCCCATCCGGCGCACTGGTATCTATCGTTTACAAAGAGTCGTGGACGAGTCGAACCTTGAGGTCCGCATGCGCTCATCTGACGCGCTTGTCGTTTCTTGTCCGCGCGCACTAATCAAGAACTCTCATACTCACAAATGTAAGGGAGAATTGTCTAATCTGGTGTTGGAGGTTGAGGGTACACCGCCGTTGAAGATCAAATATAGTAGACAAGTGAATAGGCTTGATCGCGGATTTTCCTTCCAGAACATTCAGCCTGATCACCTACGGTCACCATTGCTTGGGCAGAGAAGCTCAGGCATTTTGTTCGATGCAAAACAGCCGGAGATCACATGGGCCCAGAGTCAAACTATCGAAGTACCACTGAACGAATCTCTGAACGTGGGAGGGGAATGGTTCTACAACATTGAAGAAGTCCATGACGGTTGTGGGAACATCGCAAATTATTCGACGCTTCTGGACGAAGTTGATCGATCCTCGCCAAAGTTGCTGTCGCATTGGCACCAGTTCTTTGTGCATGAAAGACCTCGTTTATCATTGTCTGGGTGCGACGACCAGCACTTCATAGAGGTCGCGAAAGGAGAACATGTGAATCTTCCCCTAAAGTTTCACCCGGTTGGGCAGGGATATGACCACGACGGGCCCTTCTCCTTTGGTTACTCATTTAGGGGCAACGAGCGAGATGAGAGGGATGCGTCCGACAAGGTTCGCCAGCTTTCGCTCAAAGACCTTGACCAGAAGCCTCAGATAAAGGAATCAGGCTGGTATATGTTGAACTCTATTTCGAGCCAATTTTGTTCTGGAGAAATATTGGAGCCTTCGTCTTGCTATCTTCACAACCCCCCGGAGCCTGAATTGGCCCTGAAATACGAGAAGATATTCGACAAGTGTGCCAACAACTCCGTAGGTCTACTCCTTGATCTCGATCTCACTGGCTCGCCGCCTTTCCGCCTGCGGTACAGCATTGAGCACTCGAAAGGTGTTGAAACCAAGTCACTGACTGTCGATGGTCTGCGCACTCAACTCGATTTCACTCCATCTGAAGCCGGATTTTATCGATACCGCTTCTTAGATATTGCGGATACAGTCTATGCGCCTCGCTCTTTGAAAGATAAAGTGCCCGTCTTGGAACAGGACGTGAAACCACCAGCCTCTGCTCATTTCCTTGGCTCCAGGGAGGTGCGCAGAGCCTGTTTTGGTGAACCCGTTTCCATAGACGTTTCCTTCCTTGGGGAATCGCCCTGGACTCTGCATTACGAACTGGTCCACAATGGCAAAAAATCCAAGCACGTCTTAGAATCCCATGCCGAGATTGCCAGTATTGTGACTGAAAGACTCGTTAGTGGTGGTGAATATAATCTGGTACTGACGAGCGTTAAAGATCGTTCGAACTGCAAACGCACTTTGAAAGACAGCATCAGGATTGATGCTCGTTCGAAGCCGCCTCACGTATCGTTTGGGCAAATCGATAAGAAGCGAACTGTGTCAGCCCTGCAAGGTGCAAAGGTTGATATTCCGCTGAGACTGAGCGGTGAACGACCATGGACGGTCAACTACAGGAATCTAGACGTTGACTCCCCTGCTATTGAGAAGACGTTCTGGCAGGAAAACAGTGTCTTGTCAGTGACGCAGGAAGGGCACTATAATCTCATTGGCGTGACAGACAGCTCTTGCCCTGGGTCTGTTGACCAAGCAGCTAGGGATTTTGAAGTTTCTTGGATACCTCGGCCCCATATTGCTGCTGTAGACGGCTCCCCTTTGGTAATGGGAAGCCCCATCGAGAAGCGCGACGTTTGTCAAGGTGAAGACGATAGTGTGGAACTTAGCCTGACAGGCAATCCGCCATATACCATTCAGTGCGAACAACAACGCAAAATGACCCGTGGCACGTCCTCTATTCGAACAAGAAGCCTTAAGACGGCCCTCCATGTAACATCCATGGAAATGGACACGTCTGAGGCCGGGTTATACACGTACAAATTCAAGGAAGTCGGCGACAGCCTTTACGACTATGACCCAAGAAGTGAGCCTGTGATTGTGACGCAAAGAGTGAACCCATTGCCATCTGCGCGGTTTGATTCTCCTGGCCACATTTACGGGTTTTGTAAAGAGGATGTCAGTGGTGAAGAATCCATTCCTGTTACTTTGGAGGGCGTTGCGCCGTTCTTCCTGGAAATCAATATCAAACACCATTCGAACGCCAAACCCGAGGTCGTGTCAATTCCCAACATCGGCTCCAATCGATACAATCTACCTATTCCGCGTCGTTATTTGAATCTGGGCCAGCACGTCGTGAGCATTCACAAGGTTCGAGATGCGCGAGGATGTCAGCGAACGTTCGAGAACGATGCCTCAACAGTCAGAGTCGCCGTATCCGATGTGCCGACAATCATTCCGCTCGAATCCAAAATTGACTACTGCGTTGGGGAGCGCCTGTCTTTCTCCCTGTCTGGCCATGCCCCGTTCGACGTGTTTTACACGTTTGATGGGATTTCAAGGAAGGCCACCTCCCGTACAACTAATTTCCGACGCATCGCGGAAAGACCGGGTATATTCACCATTACCGCAGTAAGCGACGGTGCCAGTGGAAAATGCAAGGCACACAAGAACATAACGAAAACTATTCATGAGATGCCGAGCGTTAGAATTAGCAGAGGTCAAACCTCTGTTGTTGATATCCATGAGGGCGGAGAAGCCGAACTCCAGTTCGAGT